AAAAAAAAAAAAGGAGGTAGTACCTCCTTTTAAGAATAAGTTCCCCTAGGAGTGCCTGGGCTGGCTCAATTGGTGGAGCATGTGACTCTTGATCTGGGGTTGTGAGTTCGAGCCCCATATTGGCTGTACAGTTTACTTTAAAAATAAATTGAAAAGAATAAGTTCCCCTAATTATATGCATTTGTTTTTCAGTGAAGTTATATTGCTAATGATTATCCCTTTTTAAAGGACTTTCTATTTTTTATTTGAAAACCAAATCCATAGGGGTTCTGTAGGACAGAATTTAAAGTCCTCTGAAGAGAAGAGGATACTTTGTAATTGTCAATTGGTAGTTTTCATAGCATCAACAGTAATCAAATATTAGCAATTAAAATTTAATATTTAGAAGTTATTCTTTACATTTTTACATTTATTGTAAGACCTAATATGATAGAATTCTTTCTAGGTGAATGCAGCTTTGTTGACTTTAAAATAACCTTTGAGGGGCACCTGGGTGGCTCAGTTGGTTGGGCGTCTGTCTTCAGCTCAGGTCATGATCCCAGGGTTCTGGGATCGAGCCCCACGTCAGGCTCCTGCCTGCCACTCCACCTGCTTGTGCGCGCTCTCTCTCTCTGTCAAATAAGTAAATATAATCTTTAAAAATAAAATAGCTAAAGAATTGTATTGTTTCTTCTTCATGGACATTGTGAAACTACTATTCTGTTTGGATAAGATGAACTAAAATTATGTTAGCACCTAAAAATAGCTTATCCACTGTCTGGTCATTAGGTACTTAGAGTACATGAGAATCTTCTTTGCAGGTCAGTGCAGAAGTGATTGGAATCTACCTAAATGTCCCTCAGTCACAAACTGGTTAAATAAATGATATATCTGTACAATGGAATAGTAAGGAGGCTATATAGCTATTTTTTTTTAAAGGAGGGCTTTATATGAATTGAATTTATATGTAGGAATATCAAATTCATAAGTGAATAAAGTAAGGTACAAAACAATAGATATACTGTCATTTATATAGAAGGAATACATACACACACATATATGCTTATGTAAGCACAGAACATCTCTAGC